TATTTTACCACTTTAACTAGTTGTACAAGTCATAAGAATGTATCCAACATGTTTTAAAAAAGTTCAAGAAGTTATTTAACATGTTTTGGATTGTTCAAGGACTTATTTGTTCCAAAAATTGTCGAAGGAGTTATTTAACATTTTTTGGAATGTCCAAGGACTTATTTGTTCTAAAAATTGTCCAATGATTTATTTAACATATTTTGGAATGTCCAATGACTTATTTGTTCCAAAARATTGTCCAATGACTTATTTAACATGTTTTGGAATGTCCAAGGACTTATTTGTTCCAAAAAAAGTCTAAGGACTTAATCATTCCAAACAAGAAAGTCTATTAGTTTTTATTGTACTTTTCCCTTTATATTATATTAACGTTAATTAATGAATTAATAATTTGATAGTAAATTATAGTTTTATTGCTATTTTCTTAAAATATAAAATTTTATGTTGACACAATACTTAATAAACCAAATCATAACCGATAAGCGCTTACTGTGTCACTTACCTTATTAGGTGAGTATGACAAGGACAAAATCTTAGCTGGTACGTGAGGGTGGTGAATCTTGTCCATTATTCTAAAAGGCTCGCTACAACAGGCGTCATGGCGCATCATGGTTCAAGACTTGTGTCTCGCACCATGGCCTAAAGTGCGGTTTTTGTAACCCGATATTTGATTTTCTTCACATTTTTAATGTCTTGTTTGCTAGTTTTAATATATAACCTAATTTAAATTGTTTATTATTATTGACTCATTGAGTAATAATACAAATGTTATGGCCTTGCTGTTACGCAAGCCTCATTTAGAACCTTGAATTCTTATGCAGTTAGCATTTATCGAGAAATAGACACTTACTAACAAACTTATTATGTGATTTTGATGGCAAAGAATCTTACCTTATAAGGTTAGTGAGGGTGGTGAATCATACTCAGTAAGCATTTAATTAACTTATTAGCGTTTAGTAACGATCCTTATGTATCCTAAACACCCATTTTGTTGGAGTGGAACTTGTAAACTATAAGGTGGTGTTCAGTTCGCATAATCTTTTTGAATGAAATAGAATCGATAAAAAAATTGGAATTTAATAGAATTGGGATTGAATCCAAAGGAATATGCCGACACATTTTATTGTCAAAAATTAAAATGAAATATGAAATTGAAATCCTTGGTACGTTTAAGTAATGGAGGATTCCTTGATGTATGGATTTGATAATTTAATTTTTAGTTGTTTAAATTTGAAATTTTTTATCATTCATACTTTTCCGTATGAAAGAAAATTTTGGATAGTATGTTGGTAATTTAAAAGCCTTAAAACTAATCTTAATTTTAAAAGATATTATAGTAGTATTGTTTCCTAATGAACTACAAAAACCCGAAGGAAGTTTGTATTTTTGTTGATTGAAAAAATCTATACAAGAAGAGATGAAATATTTACGATAAGTTAAAGAAAGAATAATCTAATTCGTAAATACCTAACAAAATTGGGAATATAAATTAGAATAGATGATGTGAAGAGGTAGTCAACAATCTTATAACTCCAAAACGAATATAAGGTAAGGTTAATATATTATATTATGATAACTATGAGTATGATGAAGACCCATGTTTTGTGCTCTAGTTTCTTGTTCCAAGACTCCCTTTCTCTAAGAGGCTTTTCCTTTGTCTTGGTCTTGTAACAGCAAATCCCAAGTTTTGTGTCCACTATGACTATACAGCCAATGAAACCAAAAACACAGAATTAAGAATAAACCCCATTACCCTTGCTTCTACCAATCAACAAGAAAACAAAGTTACATATATATATATAAAGCCTCCATCTTTCTTTTCCAGACTCTCTTTGTTTCTATCTAAAAAAATGTCAAACATCTCAGGAGATGGTGGAGGAGGGAGTTTCTCTTCTGGTGGCTTAGAGGATGATGGTCAACAAAGGCAACCACCTATGGTCAACTCTCACACTCACACTCACACTCATACTACTCCTCTTGATACTGGATCCATCTCTCAACAGCTTCTTCCAGATTCATCTAAGAAGAAGAAAAGATCACTACCAGGAACTCCAGGTATACTCTCTCTCTTTCCAGTTCCTTTTTTTAATTCAAAATCTAAACTGGGACTAAATAATGTCTTCTTGACACATATTTTCTTCAAATTTCGATTGTGGTTTTCATGGCTCTTTGTTACGTATGTGTCAGATTTAGCTACTTCCATAGCCATTAATGCTTTCTGAAGCTCTATGATATATCAATATTATTGATTGCCAAGGAATTGGGAATCATGGGTTGGTTTATGATGATTATTTCTGGTGAATTACTTACTTCTTCATATATATATATATATATATATATATATATATATGTATATGTATATGTATATATCTGTTATAAGTATGTTGATGTACAAGAGATTGATTAGAATTAAGATGGGAAATAATGATTGATGAATATGTTAGATAGCTAGGTAGCCAAGTAAAAGAGGAGACTCAATTATTGGTTTCTAGATTGCAATAATTGGAGTTCTCTTACCCTCATCTTTTTCTTCTACTTTTGTTTTTTGCTGATTCAAAACACATATCTGTACTGCTCCTATCAATAGTCTTTGTGGGTGTGGGTGTGGGTGTGGGTGTGGGTTCATGTTTACTCTTCACTATGCATCAATATAACAATTCCTTAATTAATTTCTTCATCAATGAATATCTCTTGGATCCACTTTCTTTAAAGATACTTTGTTCTTGATTAATTATACTCTTTTTAACCATATCATTTATGAATAACACACAATTAATTTGTTTTTCGCAGATCCAAATGCACAAGTGATTGCTTTATCTCCAACAAGTCTTATGGCCAAGAACAAATACGTATGCGAAATCTGCAATAAGGGTTTCCAACGAGACCAAAACCTCCAACTACACCGGAGAGGCCATAACCTACCATGGAAACTTAGGCAACGAACCAGCACCGAAATCATCAAGCGTGTCTATATATGTCCTGAACCATCTTGCATCCACCACAATCCGGCTCGTGCGTTGGGCGATCTAACGGGAATCAAGAAGCATTTTAGCCGAAAACACGGAGAAAAGAAATGGAAATGTGAGAAATGTTCCAAAAGGTATGCTGTACAGTGTGACTGGAAGGCTCATTCCAAAATATGTGGCACCAAAGAGTATAAGTGTGACTGTGGTACCATCTTTTCCAGGTTTGCATCTATCCCTCTTCCCACCTCTACCTATTTGCTAAAACCATAAAATATATCAAAATACAACAAAGTCTCGCTTAATGTAATAAATATTTCTTTTCTGGATCAATGTAAATAAAGTTTCAAAGCTTTTTATTTTATACTCATTGCCACTAATAATCTATTAATCTTGTAACAATTGATGACATGCATGGATACACGACGTCGTTTATGAAAAGAGTTGCGACAAAATGGACAATAATTTTCATAATATCCAACTCATCAAATGTTACAAGACTGCCTGTGAAAATACGTAAAAAAAAATAGAAAATTTTGAATACAAAAATTTGAAACTTTATTATATTGATTAAGAAAAGAAAAAAGAAATGGTTTATTATAATGAATAGGAACCAAAAAAATTTCATTGTATCAGATGAAGTCTGAATTGAAATGAACGAATTTGAGACAAATTGAAGTGGTAATGTTGAATGATATGAAAAGAATAAACCACCGGCCTAGAAAATATTCTTTAATGTCAACTGCTGATGGAAGCAGGAGTCAATTTGAGCAAATAATATTGTTATTAATGTCCATATTTTCTTAGTTTACTACTCATGCTCTCTACCTGCTCAACCAAAGTGATGAAGGCTTCCAAACTTAATAATTATATATATATATATATATATATATATTAATCTTTAGTTTTAGTTAATTAGACATAATAGTAAAACCATGTGATATATATATAACATGTATACGTACATGAAACCCACGAAGCATTATATATATATATATATATATATATATATATATATATATAAAGTTGTTATTTGGTTTTTTATTTTTTTGACATTTTCCCCTAATCTCTCTCCCTCTCTTTCTCTCTCTCTCTCTCTATATATATATAGTCATATTCATAGATTATTTTGAGTAGTAGATATTTGAGAATTAAAGAAGTGATCTTAGTCTTTTATATACGATCAAGACTGGATTTATTGGTCCGATTTTGACTGGTCAAGAATTACGGCTATGCGAAAAATAATAGGGGTAGTTTCGTAACTTTTACAAATAAGCAGCAAACTGGTTCATATGTGAACTTGTGTGATTCACATATGAACTATATGTTCATAAGTGACCCTATGTGATTCACATATGAACTAATCAACTGATTCACATATGAACCCGTACATATGTGAATCGGCTAATTAGTTCAAATGTCAACTAATTAACGGGTTCACATAATTCATATGTGAATCACACAGGTTCGTATATGAATTATATAGTTCATATATGAATCACACGAGTTCACATATTTGTAAGGTTACGAAACTATCATCTATCTTCCGTATACTCATGCAAGAAATTATTCGGTATTTCACAATTAGAGCCGCAAATGTTGATCAGATTAGATTTTCGTTAGTTTTTCATTTTTTTAGGTTTTCCTTTAACCTCGTCCTCTTTCTCTCTCTCTCTCTCTCTCTATATATATATATATATATATATATATATATATATCAATGGTGATGATACCCATATGGACATTTATGTGTAATTAAATAGTTTAAAACTTTACAAAGTCATTATAATAAAAATGGGTTTTTTAGGATGTCTAGACAACTTTTAATACCTGAAATACGACTTTGACGTTTAACTCCATTATATACAATTTTACTATTGTAAGTTGTTAGGATGAGAGTAGACGACTTAACATGTTCTATTAGGTAAGTCGGGTAATCTAAGATGATTCAAAAAATAAATGATGTTTTTGGCCTTTTTTATATGACGATTTAAAAAATTGTTATATAAAAAATGCTAATCGGTTTACTTATTATGTTCATTTGGGATATATTGTTCAATTTTATCAATAGAACTTGTTGACTCAATAACTTCGTCTTCATGACATGTTGTCATAACAATATATAAAATATAACCATGAATGATTATGAATATAATTTTGGGCTTATAAATAATATATATAAATGATTATGAATACAATTTTAGGCATACATACATATATATATATATATATATATCCAACGTGATACCCACAGTATGCATGTGGTACACTAAGATACACAAGGTGATGCTCACTGTACACATGTCATATTCTAAAATACACGATGTGATACCAATGAGATCCTAATCGTGAAAAAACATCTTCATCAATGTTATTAACTTCGAGTTCCTCGTCGAACCATGAATAAACATCTTTTGATTAAGGTAGAGACGACTCTAGGGAACGATGGTGAGGGTTAACATCGGTTGTTGTGGTCATTGAAACTGTGTGTTCGTCGAAATGGTGGGTTGAATATGGCAGAGACGACTCTAGGAAATAACGGTGAGGGATGATATGAATCTCATGTATTCGCCGGAGTGATGAATTGAATAAAGAAACTGCTCTTTTAGGGAGAGGGAAGAAAGAGAGAGTTTGTAGGTTCTTAATTAAGAATTATGGAAAGAGATAGAGAAAAATATAGGATTACCAACCCTTTCAAATTAAGAAAAGGTCCTAAAATCATGGGATAATTATATTAATTTATACTGAATCTTATCGTTATCACAAGTTACTGAATTATCAATTAATTAGGCCCCTATATATTTATATATATGGAATATATAAATAGATATGTAAATATGGAAGTTGTTAAACGATGCGTTTATAATCCTAATCGTCACAAATTTTGGTTGATTATTATATATTTATAATTTTGTTAAAGTGGTATTAATTAATTTGAAGAGATAAAAGCATTAAAATAGAAAATTGAAAAAAATAATGAGATGCACAGTTACGATAAAAAAATTATGTTTAATTTTTGTCATTATTGGCTTTCCACGCCTTCAATGGTGTTGAGCATATTCATTTTGTTTGTTTTTGAACAGTTATAACTTATTTTATACCTTCTTGGTCCCACATATATATATATATATATATATATATATATATATATATATATACCCTTTGAAATTTAGTCACCATCTTTTTTTTAATAAAGTAACATTTTAGTTCTCTCAATTTGGATTTTATATATATATATATAAGATTTGATTAGAAACCGTGTGAACATTTGATTAAGTGACATAATTGTCAAGCAGACTAGCCCGTACGCCTTCCCATATTTTCGGTCACATTCAACTATAAGGTGGCGTTTGGTTCGTAAAATGTTTTTGAATAAAATGAAATCTCTTTTAAAGAATTTGACTTTGAATGAATTGAAATAGAATGTTGTCAGGTTTGACCACATGTTTGATTGACAGACATTGGAATGGAATCTGTTTATTTTGTTTATAGAATGTAGTTTTGAAATTTGAATAAAATATTGGTAAATGACCAAAATGCCTTTTTTTGAAAATTTTATTTTTTTAAAACTAAAAATAATTTAACAAAATAATTATTTAATATGTGAAACAATATAAAATACACAATCCAAATATAACCATAAGCCAAACAACGTTACTAAATCAACGGTGGTTTAGATTGGTGGTGGTCCATGGTGGTTTGGATCGGCGGTGGTCCGCAGTGATTCAAATGGCAGTGGTCGGCAGTGGTTCAGATTGATGGTGGTCCACGGTGATTCAGATCGGTGGCAACTGGTAACGGTGGTTCAGATGGGTGGTTTTTCAAATCGTTGGTGGGTGGCGATGTCCAGTGGTGATTTAGATCACTGGTAGTCATCAGTGGTTGATAGTGGTTCAGATCAGTGGTGGTCTGTGGTGCTTTAGGTGGCGGTGGTCGAATATGGTTCAATTAGACGGTGGTTCAGATCGGGGGTGGTTTAAATCGGCGATGGATCAGATCGATGGTTGTTCTAATCAGTGATGGTCGGTGGTGGTTCAGATCAACGGTGGCAAGCGGTGATTTCAGATCGGTAGTAGTTGGAGATGGTTTAGATCAGTGGTGGTCTGTGCTGGTTCAGATAGTGATGATTGACAGTGGTTCAGATCGGTGGTGGTCCATGGTGATTTAGATGGCAATGATCGACGGTGGTTCAAATTACAGTGGATTAGAATGGTGGTGGTTCGGATCGGCGGTGGTTTAGATCGGTGGTGGTCGACGGTGGTTCAGACCAGTGGTGGTCGACTGTGGTTTAGATCGGTAGTAGTCGGCGGTGGTGGTCGTTGGTGGTTCAGATGACAATGGTTGGCGGTGGTTTAGATGGTTGTGGTCGGCGGTGATTCAGATCGACGGTGGTCGAAGGTGGTTGATGATGTCATGCTGGGTTTTATAAGATTAGAATATATTGGGTTAGGGAAATATTTAGTATTATGAAAATAGATAATTCTATTCCATCAAAATACCATGTGGTTGGTAAGGAATGTTAAATTCCATTAATTTGTGGAATTTGTAGGATTTTGATTTTCATGGAAAAAAATAAACCAAACGAGGGAATGAAATTTGATCAATGAAATTCAACATTTCAATTCCATTATATTTCTTCAGAATCTGCGAACCAAACGCTAAGTCACTTTCACTTATTCTCACATATTTTTACCTTCACATGCATTAATACCTTAAGGTTTTATTCATGCCGGTACAACTAGATAAATTGAGGTAATTGAAGTTGGGTGAATGTGTGTAAAGATAGGTAGGTGAAGGTAAATGAAAGTGGGTGAAGGTAAATGAAAGTGAGTGAAGGTAAATGAAGAAATGATACTATTACATAGTTTTACAAAAATGGACCAGATCATACCCAGATGCCGAAAATCAAAATATGAGCGCCCATCTTTTACAAAAAATGCACGCTATCATTTCCGTCGAATCAAAAGAGATCGATGGCTCTCACGAAAATAAAGAGTTGCCACGTAGACTATATATATATATATATATATATATATATATATATATATATATATATTGGATCGTATAAGACAATTTTAGATGAAAATGATGAGAAGATTTCTGAGTTTTGACTTTTTGATCAAATAGCTAAAACATGTGGACATTCATCTACTTTCAATTTATGGATGAAGAAAACACACACACACACACACACATATATATATATATATATTTATGAAAATATTCATTTGAGAAGTGGTAAGTATTTGAGAAATAAAGACATGATCCTAGTCCTTCATCTGGTCAATATTTACGGTTTTGACTGTGGAACATCGAATTATTCCTCACATGTGTATGCAGAAGATAGAGAGGTTGTCTTGTAACTTTACAAATAGGCGACAAACGACTTCATATGTGAACCCGTATGATTTACATATGAACTCTATGTTCATATGTGAACCCGTTAATTAGTTCAAATGTGAATCAGTTAATTAGTTCATATGTGAATAAGGGTTCATATATAAATCAGTTAACTAGTTCACATGTGAAACACACGAGTTCACATATGAATCCATTTGTCGCATATTTGTAAAAGTTACGAACTACCCCCTCTATTTTTTGCATAGCCGCAAAATTTTGACCAGTCAAAGCCTCAATTCTTGACCAATCAAATCCGACCTTGACCATATGAAGGGCTAAAATCACTTCTTTACTTCTCAAATATTTACAACTTCTCAAAATAACCTATGGTTATATATATATATATATATAGGCAAATGATCGTGTGAGAAGAAAAGTTAAAGTGATAAGCGTGAGAAGGATCTGGACCTTGATCATCTTTAATTTCAAACTCACTCATAAATTGCGCTTGATACTGCTATTGATTTGATGCATTTTGGTGTATCTCATCTTAATGTGCATCAATGGGTGAAGATTCCTTCTTACACTTCTCATCTTAACTTTTATTTTCACCGGAACCCAACCTTATATGAGAGAGAAAGAGATGAACGATTAAATGCAAACCACCCAATTTGTACAAATCGTGCAAACCACTCTTATTCGTCGATTTCAGTGTTTAATAATATGAAATTGTTTCATGAAATTGTTAAATCTTGTGAAATTATTTCATATAATACTTTTTTGATGAATTTGTTTCATATATGGTTATGAAATTATTTCATATAATACTTAATGAAATTTTAATGAAAAAAATGATTAATCAACCTCTCATAACTACAAAAAATGAATAAAATGAAAAATTATAGTTGATTGAATGAGGTTTATACAAATAACGTGGTTTGCAAAGTAAACCTCTTATATATATATATATATATATATTGAATGGTACTCGCACAATGCAGCGAGATATATCTTTTTTTAATATTTTATTTTATTTTATTTTTTGTTTGTTGATATAATACGATTTATGTGGCTTTGAAAAAGATAATGTTTTTACTTTTGAATAAAAATAAATTTGAAAAAAATATATCGATATTAATATCAAATTAACTATTTAAAAATTCTTGTTTTTTATATAATTTATTTAATTCCTTTTTATTATAATTTAATATAGATCAAATAGTGTAGTAATTTATTTTTTGTTTAACAATAAAATTTTTATAAAGATAATGATTCTGTTAGAACTCGATAATTATCCTAATTATATTTTAGATCTTTTATATTTTAAAATTAGATGTTTATCCTGTATTTGATTATGTTTATCTGCAATTAGTTATACGAATTCAAATATGAAGCTTTAATAAGTTGTACTTACGCACAATCTACTTACAATCTTGAGTTTTTAAGTAATATGCTATAATAAACGAGTACTTTGCGCATAAAAAATGGTTTTTAAGAGTTTTTGTCAAATGCTTTATAATATAGTATAGATATAATCATCTTTTACAAACAAAAAATTCTTACAAAATTATAAATCAACTTTCATATATTGTTTTACATATGAAATAATACGTGTAAATGTTATTCCATATGTGAAATATTCATGATTATTTTTTTTCCACAAACAAAATTGTTTTGAACATTTTACATATAGAACATCAATTTATATATACTGAATTGTGGCTAGCAAAAACGTCTGCTCTTGATTCCCTTTAACGGTAATTAAATAACTTGATAAGTTAGGACATTTTAGGTCCATGAGGTTTTTATTAGGGTAAATATAAAAAAACAGATAAAAGAATGAAAATACCCTTATTTAATAAGTGTTTTTAACGTTTGTTCGAAAGAGGGATTAAATCCGGATATTTTTACAAACTATAATAGCTAGCTATCTTGTATTTTATAAACTTTAGGGACGAAAAGTGTTATATCAAATAAGCCACATGAACAAAATTTGTAATTTACTTATATATATATATATATATATATATATATATTAAAGTATATATATAGAAAGAGAGAGAGCGCGACGGAGGTTCAGGGGAAAACTTTAAAAAACTGATAAACACTATGATAATTATTCATCTAGATGGTATACACATGTACATACAAGTAATTGAAACTGTTTTTTGGTTTTATGCATGTATACATGTTATGCACTTGTACATATCGAACAAATTGCTTTCAAATTACTTTTATAAACATATGCATATTTTCAAATAAACGGTTATCAAAATGTTCTTTAATTTTTTTACGGTTTTTCGTAAACCTTTCCCTACATATATATGAACAAAACTCTAAGTCTTTAACTTTATAGAACCAAACTTAAAATAGTGAATAATACTCTCAAACTTATAGAACCATAACTCTGAGTCATGTATATGTTTTGTAATAAGTTTTTTTGAGGAAATTATATATAGTCACTTTTAACAAGTTGTACATTTCCTATAACAACTTATTCTTTCATATCAATATAATTTTTGTCTCTTGTTACAACTTATACAACATACAATTTTTGTCTCTTGTTACAACAAAATTAAGTTTATAGAACATCTGTACAAATCTAAAACGTTATAATAGACTGTTTTATAGTATTCAATTTATAGGACCAAAACATAATGACTCCAATCTAAAGGTATTGTAATAAGTTTATAAGATGCTTTTAGACGTTTTAACAAGTTTTTTAGGACACTTTTAATATAAAACATCGCATTAACTATTTTATAGGACAGTTTTAAAGAAGTCTCCTATAACACATGACACTTTTTTAAAGAATGTTCTATAATATAGTTAATGCGATATTTTGTACTAAAAATGTCCTAAAACTTGTTAAGACGTTCAAAAGCGTCCTATAAATTTATTACAACGCTTTTAAATAAGACTCTTTATTTTTTGATACTATAAATTAAATCCTATAAAGCAGTGTATAATTAGAACGTTTGATTAGGTGCTATAAATGCGAATTTGTTGTAGTTTCTCATAAACTGATCCGCCTAAATAGTGTTTTGCTTTGGTTCTTCGAGAGTTGTGTAATTTTTTTTAAAATTTGGTGATCTTTTTTTTTACAGAAGGGATAGCTTCATAACTCATAGAGCCTTCTGTGATGCCTTAGCCGAAGAGAACAGCAAACTAACCCAAACCCTGCAACAAAACCATCACAGTACTGTTCAAAACATTAATCCCACAACCTCTATCACTTCACCGGAATTCAGTCATGGTGGCATGCCCGACTCTAAAAACCCATCGGAATTACTACCTCTAAACATCATGCAAGGTAGCCGTGGAAGCCTGTTTAGCGGCAGCCCTAGAAACGGCTCACCCTCGTCTCTCCAACTAGGAGGCACCACACTCTCATCACACCTAACATCAGCCACTGCCTTGTTACAAAAAGCAGCCCAAATGGGAGCCACCGCTAGCAATGGGAACAACAACGGTAATAATGGCGGCATGAATAACTATGTTACCACCATGGCACCACCGTCGTATGGTGGTGGTGGTGGTGGTGGTGCATACCACGGTGCTGATCAGAACTTGGTTGACCAGTATCACACTCATCATTCACAAATATCTGGGATCATCGGCGGTGGATTCTCAAGCCAGTTTCAAGAAACTTCAGGCATATCACGATTTTTTAACCCGAGTATTAACGGAGGAGGGAATGGCGATGGAATAGGAGGATATTCGGGGTTCATGAACCCTAGCAAAGAGGTCATGATTATGAACAATAATAACAACAATGGTGGTCATGATGGAAATCCGGGAATGAGTGATTCCAGTAATCCTTTGTTAAGGTTTAAAAGGGATGGAAATGGTGATAATTTGACTGTCGATTTCATGGGGGTAGGAGGAATGAGACTCAGGAGTTTCAATGAACAACACCAACAACAACAAGGAATGGAAATTTGAAAGTTTTGATTTTGGAAATAATAGAAGACATGCATAGGGGACCATTGTCAAGTGTATAAACTATATTGTGCATGTTGATATATATATATATATATATATATATATATATACATATATATATACATATATATATATATATATTGTCTCTACTTTTTTGGTGTAATATATTGCTATATTCTTGAACAAAGACTTCTTTTTCTCTCATTTGGTTTGAACGATGGTCATCGTGTTAACCCGGGTTTCTTTTTCATTTATATGAAATTCCTTGTGATCCTCTACACATGCAATTTCAACATTTATCTATATATAAATACATGTTCACATAAGAAAGCTTGATAACACAAATCTTATACTTGTCACCTTTTTAAACCATTTTCATTCCTTTTACCTATCCAAATACCTATTTGAAACTTCTAATATTTCTCTCATCTAAATCATTCCTAAAGATGAGAAATAGCTTAAAAGTCGGATTTTGACGATGTATATTACAGTGGCGCTTCACAACTGTGACAAGCAATAGTAGTGGTTGAAAAGAAATCCTTATTGGAGATTTGCCAAATATGTGAAACATGAATGCAGATTTCAGGCTAGGGGTGAACAAAAAACCGTCAACCCGTGAAACCCGCCCAACCCAAACCGCTAACAACCCGATTAAACCCAACCCGCCAAACCGCTAAACCGCCAAACCGCTAACTGCCAAACCGCTAATTAGAAGGGTTGAAATTGGGTTGGCATAACGTAACCCAACCCAAACCGCCAACCTGCCGCTAATGTATATTTTTTTTAATAAAATTATGTATATATATAGATATATATATATATATATATATATGTGTGTGTGTGTGTGTGTATGTGTGATATTTACAAAAATTAAGAAGTGTTTCATGTTTGTTTGAAAATTTGGTCTTTAAATTTTTAGCCCAATAATCCTTAAGCCTCCTTAATCCTTTGACTTAAATCTTATGTATTATGTTAGCCCAAGTACAAATAGGCCAACAGCCCAACAAAAATAGCAATTGATTTAGTCATTTAGAAATTAACTCAAGTCTCAAACACAAGTACGCAGTAACACAACCCTACCCGTCTCTTTCTCCTTCTCGGCTTCTCCAGTTCTCCTACGTCCCTTACAACCTTACTTGCTCAGTTGCTTGCTTGCTTGCTTGCGGTTCAACCTACCGAATACCGTCTCCTTCTCCTAAATCTAATCCCTCCGTCGCCGTCTCCTAAATCTAATCCCTCCGTCGTCGTCTCCCTCCGTCGCCGTCTCCCTCCGTCGCCGTCTCCCTCCGTCGCCGTCTCCCTTCGTCGCTATTGTCACTCGTAAGCAAGTAAGGATCCTTCTTTTTCACGTATTTTTGTTATTTATTGTTGTGAAGCAAGTGTTGAATAATTTTTCATGCTATCTTAATTGACRATGTTAATTTYTGAAAATGTTAATTTCTGAAAGTATTTAATTGTTCATTGTAGAAGAAAATGTTCATTTCTGAAAATGTTATCTTAATTGACGATGTATAGGAGCAATGGAAGATACTCCTAAATCTCCAAAAATYGAAGATAATGATGAACCAAACACGTCTAAGAAAATGGGTGGTAGAACTTCAAACGTTTGGGATCACTTTTCAAAAAAGGACTCTAGATGTTTTTGTAATTATTGTGGAAAAGACTATGCTTACCATAGTAAGAAAATTGGCACAAGCTCAAGGAGAATGCAACATCGGAGTCGGGAAGGTCAAAGACGGTTGTACTTGATTGAGTATTTAACATATGGAAATGGGAAGTCTATTGCTCGTATCAAACTTTTGATTTTTGAAAATTGATTTCAAGACTTGAGGATTTAGTCTTTATATATATTTTTGGATGATTGTAATAACTAATGACTTTGTTGGTATACTTTTAGTATTATTTATCATATTTCATTTGACAATTTTATAAGATTTAGTAACCCGCCAACCCAACCCAACCCGYCCTAACCCGCAAGGGTTGGGTTGGGTTGGGTTATACTTTTGAATGGGTTGGGTTGGGTTGAGATTTTTCAAACCGCCGTAATTGGGTTGGGTTGTAAAAACGTCGTAAACCGCCCACCCAACCCGTGTTCACCCCTATTTTGTACATTACTATTTACTCGTGGTTGACTTATTAGCACCAGTTATTTTGGTTGTAAAACTGGATCAAATCATAAAAGTTTGAAAGTCTTGGGGGCCAAAATCTAGAAAAAAGAAGGAGAGGGGTTTACATGAAAAATAAAGAAAAGCTAGAGGGAATTACGGTTTTGGTCCATTGGTTTCTTCAGGATAACAAAATTGGTCCTTTAACTTCATTTGTTAGAGTTAAATACAAATTTGGTTCTTGTGGTTTATATAAATTAATGAGTAAGATCATTTAAAAGGATTATCAACGAGGTGCGTCCCTTAGTTTTATTCTTATAACAGATCTGGTCTCTCCTCTAACTTATTTAGTTAACTTTCTGTTAGTCGGGGGAAATTTTGTCATTCATCATCTTCTCCCTCAACTTCAATTTTCAATAAAGAATTTGGTTGTCAAACTACTTTTCATTTTATAACATATTTAGTCCCTCAAACTAATTTATATTATTATAACAGATTTGATCCCTCTCTAACTTTTATTTTTAGGATTTGATCACTTTTTTTAATCAATAGCAAATTATCTTTTCCGTCCATTTGGTTTGTTAAAAAATTCAATTTGCGTCCTTGTGGTTTAGATATTTCGGTTTTCATCCCTGTAGTATGTAAAATATTGCTATTTTTGTTCTTATGATTTATAACTTATTGTTGTTTTAGTCCCTGTGATTTACAATTTTGTACTATTTTAATCCCTTGTACTTAAAAAGGTAAGAATTAGTTTAGGAACAAAAATAGTGATGAATTACAAACCATAGGGACGAAAATAACAATAAATTACAAACCATATAGACGAAAACCGCAATTTCTAAACCACATAAATAAAAATCAAAACTTTTAACAAGCTATAAGAACAAAGAATGTAATTTACTCATTAATCAGTAAAAGTTGGTGGTATAGACATATATCTTTTAAATATAATTAGAAACGTAATTAAAAAAAATTCAAAGTTAGATTTTCCCATGAAATATTTTGATCAATGCCTTATTTTAATTAGTTGAAAATTAAAAAAAAAAAAAAAGTAAAATAGGGTATATAAATTATTACATAATAAGATATAAAAGCATGAGTNTACTTTTGAATGGGTTGGGTTGGGTTGAGATTTTTCAAACCGCCGTAATTGGGTTGGGTTGTAAAAACGTCATAAACCGCCCAACCCAACCCGTGTTCACCCCTATTTCAGGCTTGGTCAAGGCTGAGGATTTCATGAAAATGAAGAGAGAGGAGACAAGACAAGTTTGGATAAGAAGACAAAGTATGAAATGTCTCTTTCTTCCCTCTCAAGTCTTTTTCACACACTCTGTAACACCTCAAACTCACATTGCATATAACACATATTTCATTCACATAATACATGTTCAAGCCCACAAAGGTCCAAAGTACAAGAAGCTATAATACAAAATACACAACTCAAAAATTCCAAAATACATACTCTTGTACTACATATCATCTTAATATCAAAATGCATCCATCTATCTTCATAAGGCTAAGCACTTAGAGAGATAATTCACAATTTGTCTTTTTCCTTACTATCATCATAACCATCATTTCCTGCAACATATATTTGAAACACAAAATGAGGGTTAGACCTAAAGGTCTAGTGAAATCCCTTTTTCCATGTAGTTGCAGGTTGAATATCACCAAAACATTATTCAAATAAATTCATTTCTCATAATGAAGTATAAATCCACACTCTGTTTATGTCCATCGGGCTTCTGGTTCAAAGACCAGACTTAGAAATATTTCAACAAACAAGAGGACCAGAGCTCTTCTGGTTCCTCTACCAGAGCTTTTGGTTAAGCCAACCAGAGCCTCTTACTTAAGTAAAATCTCAAAACGTTTATAGAACAACACTATAGATAATAAAATAGCTTTCCCAAGGATAAAAACATATTTTAAAAAGGATCTTGTATGACTAGAGCTCTGGTTCTACTAGCCAGAGCTTCTGGCTCAAAATGCAAGACTAACCAGAGCCTCTGGTTCAACGCAATAGGCCAACCAAAGCCCCTCTGGTCTATCTCTTTTTTTTTTTTTTAAATCCAAGTATAAAACTTATTGAAAACTCATTTAAAGTATAATTTTGATACAGAGCTCTCATCTATAGATATAGAGCCTTTGGTTCAACTAAAACATTTAGTAAATACTTGTATAATTCTCAAATCATCATCCAGAACCCTCTGGTTCTACTATGAGGACCAACCAAAGCCCCTCTAGTTCCTTTCAAGAAACAAACAGAGCCTCTCTGGTTCCTCTTAAACCAAACACTTGTTCCAAAACAGAGTTTATCCAAAACCATTGGCCATAGGCTAAGTTTTTCCCTTCTCAATAACATCAATACCATCATTTCTATTAAGAGCAACATCTCTAAGTCCTCAAATCACAAAGAAGTAAGAACTCAAATCTGTTAGCATCAATTTGATGCTAAGATCAGTTTTATTAAGCAATCGGGGCTAAGGATGTACACCTGAAGATGATGTTGTGCCAAAATGTCTAAGTCTGGAAGAAGACCAGCCGCTGTGCTAAA